CAGACCACACCACACCACACCACACCACACCACACCACACCACACCACACCACATCACATCACATCACACCACACCACACCACATCACATCACACACACACACATCACACACGTTCGCAGCAAAAATAACGGAGATTAAAAGAGAGAAAGGGCGAACAGATTTTCCGCGTCAACGTCGGACAATAATCGATACGCTGGCTACCGGATAGTCGCACCTGTGTTTTTATTACATTGTAGTTCGCGCCGAGTTTAATTAGAGACTCCACGGGTGGTAACCAAGCAATCTATCTGTAATGTCCCGCGGCGTCAACTCTCGTTTTCTTCCCATCGGTCGACTAATTAAATAAATATAGGACGCAATGCACGCGTACGGTGTATCCTACGATCGATATCGAGTTCCACAGGCAGGCTCATCTGATGCGCGTGAAACCGCTGTTAACACAAATCAAAAACCTAACTCCCCCCCCCCCCGAGAGAAATGAGAGACGTGACACGTGAAGGAAAGGAAACGAGAAACGTGTTTAATTAGGAATGTTTGTTCTGTAATCAAGAAGAATGTAAGGAAAGCAAACTGTTAAGTCTATTTCTTAATGTAGTAGCCGCGTGAAGAAAAAAAGTTATTTGAACAAATTCGTGTAAATTTGTGAATCCACGGAATTTTGTCCTCGTTTACATAGTCTTATTATATAATAGGCACTGATTTTTATAAAATTAAAATAATACTTTTTTTACACAGTACCCCTTTTAAAATTTATTGATTTACCTTAAGTCTAAAACGCATTATAGAGAAAATATTAGAAATAGGAAAAATTAAATTTAAAAATATTATATAATTAAAACTTAAGTTGAATTTTGGAAATAAAAATTGAAAATAAAGATTAAACGCACAACGGACACAAGTAAATAGAAGATACAGCTATATTCTTATACTTACTTATGTTTATTGTGTGTTACGTTTAATCTTTATTCCTAATTTTTATTTATTTTAATAAGAAATTTTAATAATAAATTTAAAAATTATAAAATAAAATATAAAAATAAATTATTTATATATTTATTTTTAAAATAAATTTAAAAATAAATATTATGTAAATAATTTATTTAGGAAATAATGAAGAAATAAGAGAAGAAATAAGAAAAATAATCAATTTTCAGATTTGATTTAGGAATACTGCGTTGAAAGTCTGTTAATATAACACATAATTTGCAATTGTTCTAAATTTATATATTTATAAATTCAATCAAGAAGAATAAAAAATTACAGAATATCTAAGATTCAATCCTACCGAACGATGTCATCTATTATCTTACTGTTTAAATAATTTATTTATTTATTATAAATTTAATATTTATTCTTGTTATTAATATTTCCTCCATTGTGCGGGGCCTACAGTATTACATTGAAAAAATATTATAACTAATATTACAGATGGAATATATTTTTTCTTATCTACGTACCAGTCATCTCTGTCTCAAATACGTTAATACCATAAACTCTCGGTCCTTAAAGCAATAAATTTTTAAGCACGTACCCTCCCCTTATTCTGCCTCATTGGCTTCTCGACTCGCGGGAGACTGTTATTATACTCAACTTTCGAGGCGCATCGTCACGATTCCGCCAGGGTAAATAAGGAGTCGGGAAAGACCGGGAAACGCGCGCGGAGGACCAAGGGAAAAAGGCGGGATTAGACGAGGGGTCGCGCGAAGAAGTAAGGCGAGCGGAAAAACAAGGACAAGGAAAAAGTAAGGAAGGCAACGAGAGAGAAGGCGGAGGAGAGGGGAAAAAAAAAGGAGAAGGAGGTCAGAGAGAGCGTTCCCGGGATGAATATTAAAATGTAAAGTTCCCAGCAAATTAATCGCGTTAACGTCAGGGCATTTTCTCGCGTCCGTTTTCTCTACCTCTCCTTTTCCCCATACATCTCTCTTCCTTCAGCTTCCTCCCTTGCTGACCATTCTATTTTTTCCTCCCCTCCCCCTTCTTCTCCCTCTCTCTCGTCTCTCGCGCCAACCAGTGCGGAGTCCAACTCTGCGCTCCGTTGCTCCTGAATATTCATTAATCCCGCTTTTCTCCGTCGTCCGTCGGAAATGCGCGTCTTGGGCGAGATATAAAAAAGAGAGTAAATCTCTTTCGCACCGGTCGTCACCTCCGTCGGCACCGTCGGCGTCTTCCAACGTCGCGGCGCCGCCACCGCCACCGTCGTCGCCGCCGCCGCCGCCGCCGCCATCGCTGCCGGTGCGGAACGGACGTTCCCCGTGTGCACGATTGCCATAACGAAATTCCCGACGCGTTTCACCGTTGATATCACCGCGAGTACGAATGCCGGATATACGGCGGATACGTGTCGTCGTGAAATCGCATCCGGGGAGTCGCCGCGCGGAATTTACATGCTCATTAAAGAAATGAACTTTCCGGTTTACGGCCTGACTTACGGCAAGGCGAGACGAGACGAGCTAACCGCGAGCTTTTGAAAATCGCGCCGACAACGCGCGACGAGGAGACGAACGAGACGCGCGCGATTTTCTTATGGTGGAGCGCAACGCGGAGATGAAATCAAATGCGGGAGAAATAACAGAAGCGAAATGCGCATCTCTTTGACTTACACTTTGATTGGCGAGATCGAAGAAACGTCCGACACGAGCGGATTTCGGATAAACGATCTGAATTTTTTTCTCTTTTCCGCTTTTTTAAATTTCTCGAGCTCAGGCACGCGCGAGAGTGTGACTTCCTTCGTGAGACGTTTCTCTCGAGATTGTAATTTCTTCTCGCCGCTGTAATTTCTTCTTCGGTCGAGATACATAAGATCTTTTTGCGAGTCTCTCTCTCTCTCTCTACGAAGGACCGTCTACTATGATGTACACACTCGATATACGTTGGCAAGTAAGAGCCACCCCGACGCCGCAACGTCCGCCACGAGCGACGTCCCCGTCGCCGGTCCCTTCGTCGCGACCG